ATCATTTCTCTATATATATATATATATTTTTCTCCTCTTTTTTATTTAATATATTTTTTTATATATAAATGGACAACCAATTTACATATAATTTAATTAATTTAACAAATAGCATCATTATAAATAAGAATAGTCATAGTTAAACTCATTCTCTATTCTAAAAAGTTAGAATATATAAATTTTTTTGAACTTATTTTTAAGAATAAACAATCTAAAATAGAGAACATTTAATGTTTAAGAGGCTATGCAGGACGTAATAAGCCTTCCCACCCTCGAGTATAGAAATTTCTAATGGAGATGCTATTTTTATTTATAAAAAGTATCTTATCCATAATATGGAACATCTTTGAAATGACGCAGCAAATTACTTTTCCTTTTAAATCAAGAGACGAGCAAGAAATTTAATAAAAAATAGGGGATATTGTTTTCGTATACTGAAATTTACCTTTTTTGACATAGCGCGTAATAAGAACATCGAGATCAATCGAGCAAAGTATAGTAATGGTAGTATGTGTGTGTCACACACACACTCGTGACACTTCATTTTGCTTTTTTCAATAAATACTTACTGATTTCTCCTTATATTTTATTTAACATATTTGTTTATATGTCAATAGCAAATCGATTTAAATGTACTTAGAATAATTTTAAAAGTGAAATATTGAAATATGTAACTTACTAAATGCAATTATTGTAAATTAAGAATATAGAGTGGGTTTGACTCCAAAAATTTGGAGAGCAAGACTCACCATCTATTTTAAAAAGTTAAAATAGAGAATTTCAAAAGTTGAAACTTATTTTTAAGCATTAACTAAAATAAAGAGTATTTTGTATTTGGATGCCCTATATCTTAGAGAGGCTGTTAGAGGTGGTCTTAGTTGATTAACAATTGGGTTTGATCATAATTTGATCATTTTTAAAAATGAAAAAAAAAAAAATTGTCCATTAACTTTCAATTAATTTCAAAAAGAAAATTTGCATCGAAGGTTCCAAGCCTTTTAAAATATATGCAGCATGGTCATAAACCTTTTAATAGGCAAGGGAGGCTAATTACCATCATTACTGTTGGTTTTGAAGAGAATTTATTTATTTCTTTCCAATTATTTAGAGATTCTTGTTGGGAGGAAATAAGTTAATGGGGATGGGAAGATGAGGTCGAAAGAGGAGGAGGCAGTGACGGTAACTGAAGTTGCTATGAGGTTGAGGTTGGTGAGCATCATAACAATTATCGATGCTTGAGTTGCAACCACGTCAATCTCACCCATTATTAAGATTTGAGATTTCATTTTAAAAGGTCAACCCTATTAAGAGGAGTAGTACAAACTCTTATAAATTGATTTATATTTTCATCTTTATTCGATTTGAGCTTTTTATCCTTTAACATGCCCCCACAAGATGGTAGCTCATTTCAACAGATCGATCTCGAAATTCATGTGCTCAATTGTTTTTTAGTCTTAATCGGATCGAACTGCTCGTTGAAACTTAACAGGCTCTGATACCAAATTAAGATTTGGGGTTCCATCTTAAAAGGTCAATCTTATTAAGAGGAGTAGCCCAAACTCTTATGAATTGGTTTATATTTTCATCTTTATTCGATATGAAATTTTTTATTAGAAATGATATTTGGCCTAACTCAACTTAATAAAACCGGTTTGTTAGGGGAGGATTGCCCTCACCTTTTTAAATGGATCGTGTAAATATCACCAGCCATGTGGACAGCATGGATCATGCCAAAAATAATTATGAACAAATCGATATTTGGTGCACCCAACATTGTAAAATTGGGTCTGCTCTGATATCATATTAAAAAGGATATTGGATCTAACTCAACCAAATAAAATCGACTTGTTAGGGAATGATTGTCCTCACCTTATTAAGTTGATTGTGTAAATATTATCAGTCAATGTGAGACTCTAATACCCATCGTCATCACCTCATTTAGTGACCTCTGATGAATAGACATCCGATCAGCTTCCATCATCTGCTCACCTTTGTGTAATTAGTTATGCCTTCAAAATTATATTACAAGGAATTCCTGTTGCTTTCCGATCGAGAGCCATTGATCTCGAGTGACCGAGATTTTTGCCATCCCTGAATGTCAGGTTTCATAAGTGCAATAAGCACGTATTTTTGAATGACCTGTCTATAGTTATAGCTTTTGACTGTTGTCAAATTACAGAAATATTATCATAATGTTTTACTTGAGATTAAAAGCAAATACATAGTTTTATATGAAATTTTTCATTACAGAAAATCACGTTTTTCAAGAAACCACATTGCCGATCGATTTAAAAATTGTAGCAGAAACTCACACCATCGTTGTCGAATTCTGTAGTAAATGAGAAATTTTGAGCTTCAATTGGAATGGTTTTTCCTTAACTGGGTGATAAATGTTGATAAATTGGAGGGTAAATTGTAATTCACTCGATCAACTCTTCTTATAATTAGATAATTTTTATGGGCCAAGCAT